GGACTTAATCTAAAAATTCAATCTGGGTGGAGGGCCTGAAGTCCAGACACTGAAAGACAAAGAGCAGAGAAATGCTGGTACAAAAGGTTATACAATCACAACGGTGAGTGTGATCCAGTCAACCAGGCTTCCTAACTCAATCTAATATAGCTGTTCGCACAACCGGGTGTGTATACGCTGAATATCAGATCATTATGACCTGCTAATTGCTCAATGCTCTCCAGTGGAGCTGAAATATCAAACCATTACACTAATCAAAAATGTTTGTTGTCTCTGGAAATTACGGGATTTTTAAGGTGAGAGGAAATGAGTTATAGTATTTTGGAAATGTGACACGGCTCATTTAGGATGTTCAAAACCGCCAAGCGAGCCGTGACCTGTCTAGCTACCCGCTAATTTACATCTCTCTCCTTCACTCGCACACATCTATTGCTCCTCCTGGATGGGGCACAGGGGTGCTGGGGCGAGAAAAGGGGGGTGGAGGAGCATGCAGTGCTGGCGCTTGTTGGCTGACCCGGGTGTCTGCGGTTATATCGTGGTCAGAGGAGGAGGGAAAACGGGCGGTGTTTCTGAAATCCCTGTGAAATGTTCATTTTGGAACGACTTGTTGCTTACATACTTCTCTCACACCCTCTCTTCTATTTTGAAGTGTTTAAATATGGCCTAATATTGCTCAGTACCCCTTTTAGGTTTAACAGAAATTAAATTTTTAAGGGATGCAGTAAGTAAGTGTTTGTTTAGGTTTAGCTGGTACTTATTTGCCAAGATAGTGTCAGTGGTTTTACACTTTATACTGACACCTGTTGGTGTGGATGCACTGTTGCTTGTTTGTTTATCTTTATCATGTTACTACTGTTCATTTGTTTTTCTCTACCTTACACTACACATATCTGTATAATGAATATTCTAGATTTAATCACGACATATTTTTATGGTGGTAGGTAGCTATTTGTGGGTTCTTTGTTTTATCACTCCATTAGAGGCTGCTGGTTATAGAGAATTTGTGTGTGTGTGTGTGAGTGTATATGTTTGGTTTTTCCTGTTTTGTTTAAGTGTATTTTTATGTAAAACGCCTAAAAAATGCATTAATTAAGCAAGTTATTATTAACTCGGCCAGCTGAATGACACTGCGATGTAATGTCAACATGGCGGCCACCATGAGGGGGCGCCCCGCTCCATGTAGATTAAAACCGCTTTTTTTCTCTGCAAAACTGACAGGACTTGAATCTTATAGCACGTAGTGTTTCTCAAAACACTGTTTAAAGGTTTACTTCGCAAAATAATGACTGAATGCCCCTTTAAGCTGGACGTCTATACTTTCCCGAACGCTACGTTTAATAAAAGGTCACACGGTTTATGTAAGCAGTTTCAAAGTGCTGAAAGTTTTGAATTCGGTTATTGCTGGACGGTCAAAGCGCTTCTCTTCCATCGCCCCACCTTGGTGATGATAAGTGAGCTAGAAACATCGTCCCATCATCATCCCTGCCCCTGCGCGCACCCCGCCCATCTCCGTTCCACTTCAGCTGCGCTTCCTTCTCATTCAGCAAACGCACTGTCCTGTGGCGAGAGAGGGGTCCTTTCCACCCCACAGCCAAACAAAAGAAGCCTGGAAAAGGAGCAAATCTAGCAAAAACTTCTTAAAGGGCAGGAGGACCCCTGAATTCTGCGTTTTTGTGGTAAGACAGCAGCGTTCTTGAGGATATTGCAGGAAGGAACACTGGGAAGCTTTTTAATATCCATCTATTGTCAGTGTGTCATGTGGAGTGTGGGGTCACACAGGAGGATGACCTGTTTTTCACCTGTCGTTCTCCAGCATACAGCTGAACAGGTTTGCTTGCGAGAAGACTCTCTCTGAACAATCCTCCAACACACGCTCAGATGCTCACCTGGGTCTGTGTCCGGTTTTGGCTCCAGTAAAACCATCGCCTCAAAGATCTCACTGTCCGGGGTGATAGAAGCGCTGGAGCGATGCAGTCCATGCTGTCCTCTGCTGTCGTGCTGTAAGTTTCACGTGTAATTATTCGGTTTGAGTTGAAGGCTGCATTGTAGCGAGTCTCCATCTACTGATGGGTCCACCGTTTTCTCCAGCCTGAGCATTTGTTGTGTTTCCCATCTCTGGGTCAGACGATAGCCTCAGCAGATGCTGTGTTCTCAAAATAACACTTCCCACCCAGTGTCTCCTCAGATAACAGCAGCATACACACTGATGATGAGACTTTCTAGGTCTGAATCCTGCTTTAGACTGTAGGGTAGAAGTCCTGTGTTGGTCAATACAAATAAGGATGTCATAAATTAAATTGAAACACAAATAAATTGAAATAAAACAAATTAAAACTACCAAGAATATTTACATTTTAAAAAACGTATATATTATATTACCGTATTGGCCCGAATATAAGACGACCCTGATTATAAGACGACCCCCCTTTTTCCAGATGTACCTTTTGGAAAAAGGCTTTTTAAAAACCAAATCTTGTTTTTTCTCAGTAAAACACATTTTGTCTTCAATTATTTTCATATTGCATATTTTTCCTATTTTAATTTTTGTTTTGAAAGTATGGTAAAAACTGGTAAAATGTACTAACAATCACATTTAAAAAATATACACTTTTTAATATACCATTTAAAAAATACAATAAAAAACAGGTAGCCCATCTGAATTAGGACATTTAGGCCATCCATTAATAGTAGCCCACCAAAATCTTATTAACAGTAGAAGTTAAATCTTACTGTAGTCTTCAAATCTGGGTACTGTCTTACATTTTAAAATCACAAAGGGAGTTTGGTCCCAGCAGGCTAACCTGACAGGCACGACTCATGCAGCTGTAAGGTTTTCTGCTTCTTTTGTTTTTACTCGCGATCTTTACAACACGCATTACATTACGTATTTCATGGCACACTCATTTTATGCGTATTTGGCGCCACCTAGTGTTGTGGGTGTATTATTGACATGTCAAAGTCTAGACCCTGAATATAAGACAACCGCGTTTTTTCAGATGTATTTCCAAGAAAAAAACATCGTCTTATATTCGGGACAATACGGTACATCATATTATATTATATATATGTTTTAACTAATACTCCTGGCACACAATCATGGGGGCCTAAAGGGGTCCCCTCTTTATGGTTTTATGGTCTTTATGGTTTATGGTTTTCTTGACACATGACAACAAAATGGCTTCCTTCATGTTAGTTACACCACAGTGACTTCAATTAAGTGGCCGGATGTTTTTCAGTATTAAAAAAAAAACTATTTAAAATAAAAATCCTTCACTTCTTATTTGTATTTATGTATATTTTTTAATAGCATAACATTATACCACTACTTATGGCAAAATTTATTTCTTAAATAAATTCAGATTTATATATATATATATATTTTTTTTTTCCTTTTTATGATCTTCAGACTGTTACCTTGCCTTTTTTTTTTTTTTTTACATTTTTACTGTCAACTTAGAAATTGACAGCATGCTCAGGTGTATTCTATGCCATTGTGTATATGATTATCTTTTTAAACATGTATTTATTTTAATGCACTTTATCCACACAGAAAATGAGCATCATTCACCCATATATCAAAATCAGTAGTAATATTTTGTTTAACAAGAAGTGTCATAAAATAGAAGAGACTGTAGTTGGTTGGATCAGGGTTCATTCATGGGTCATAATCAGGTGGTCACAAAATTGTCACTTTTGAGTATTTGCCTTCCTGACCCATAGTAATAGATTAAAACCTGTCGAGGCGAGGACAACTTTTTAATTTGTTATGCTAAAACAAAAAGTACTTAACCCCAGCAGCAAAAAAAAATTTGTATATATATATATATATACATACATATGAATGCTGGTTAATAAAAATGGGAAGCGATTACATTTTGGTAGATTTGGAAGCCTGTGATACATTATGATGGCTGGCTGACATCATTTAGGAAAAGAGAGTGAGTGAGGCTGGTTGGCATACGTATAAAGTATTATTAACAGTCCATAGCAGATTTGAACATTGATCTTTAAATACATGCAGACACTCACATGTGGTGTTAGTTTGGGTTAAAATAAACATCTTTTCTTCATGGTGCATCCTTCTTATAACTGTAGTCTTTTAACACTGTGCCAGCCAACCCTAAAATAACATCAGAAATTTAAAAAAGAAAAAAAATATTGTGTAATACTGAATCCCTTTTTATCTAAGGACTTACGCTTTCATTTGCACCTAATTGGCTTATCTTAACATTTGATGCACCAGAGATATTCAACAAAAATTAAAAGTGTGCCATCCAACCTCAGTCTCCCCTGCACAAGTTTAAAAAAGCCACTAGAGCAAATGCAAATGTCAGACAATCACATGTGTCTTTTCTATTTCTCTTTGGCCAGATGCTTCCAGGTCGTACCGAGACTTGTCATAGCACTTGCATATTATTGCTCTTTTGTTGGTTTTGATTGCTTCTATTGTCATCATTTGTAAGTCGCTTTGGATAAAAGTGTCTGCTAAATGAATAAATGTAAATGTAAATATTATTTCAATATTATTTATATTGGTTATTTTGTAAATAATTTATAAGAAATACACCACTTAATATACACAATAATTAATTAGGAATTTCATATATTTTAATTAGTTGTATTAGTTATATATGCATGTGTTTGTGTAAAATTATAATTAAATGTTTAAATATAAAATTATATATATATATATATACACATTTATAAATACAATTGTTCATGTTACTACTTTTACTACTTATGCTAATTGAATAAATGTAAATGTATTTAAATACATTTATAAATAAATATATAGTAAATATTTAAAAAAGAGATCTAATTACCTAATTATCTAAAACCACTACCACACTTCTGTACTAAAACCTGAAGTTAAAAATCATCCGCCAACTATGGTTGTCTTGCTAAACTGTAATTTCTATGACAGTGCATCTAATGCATTTGAGTGTCAATTATGTTCATTTATATTCCTGTATGTTTGTATTTTTGTGTTTCTTCACAAGCCCAGCTCGTGGTGGAGGCCGACACCTTTGGGAGTCAAGTGAAAATAAGAGGAAAAGAGACAAACTACTACTTGTGCATGAACCGTAAGGGGAAGCTTATGGGGAAGGTGAGTTGCTGAGAAATGACTGTACTTGATATTGTAGGGTTAACATGCTTTAAATCATTCACGCCCTGATGAGGCTTTCACACACTGATTTGAAACAACCTGAAGTCTCAGTGTGAAAACCTCATAAAACGCACATTTTGTTGGACTCTTGGTGAAAAAAGCAGGCAAAAATTAGCTTGTTTCACAATAATTCATTTAATAATTCAAATTTCAGTAAGCTTCTTTTTGCAAAATGAAATTCTCAGAATAGATTATGAGCCAAATATAGTGATACATCTGGAGTTAATTACACTAACCAGCCACTTTATTGCTTGTTTCACAATAATTCCAGTGAGATCAAAATTTCAGTAAGCTTCTTTTTGCAAAATGAAATTCTCAGAATAGATTATGGGCCAAATATAGTGATACATCTGGAGTTAATTACACTAACCAGCCACTTTATTACGTACACCTTGCTAGTACCGTGTAGTACCAAGACATGATTTGATTTGAGCTTTGAGACATGGCCACTTCCAGCAGGCAAACGCGCCATCACAAGATGGTATGGATGGACATGGGCAGCAACATTACCCAGGTTGGTACTAAGGGGCCCAAATTGTCGCTGAAAAATACCTCACACCATTACACCACCAACCTGAAAGTTGATACAAAGCCGGATGGAGCCATGCTTTCATGTCGTTCACGCCAAATTCTGACCCTACCATTTGAATAATGCAGCAGAAAGACTCATTAGACCAGGCAACCTTTTTCCAATCTTCTGTTGTCCAATTTTGGTGAGCCTGTGCAACTTGTATCCTCAGTTTCCTGTTTTTAGCTGACAGAAGTGGCACCCAGTGTGGTCTTCCTCTGCTGTAGCCCATCTGCTTCAAGGTTCAATGTGCTGTGTTTTCAGAGATGCTCTTCTGCATAGCTTGGTTGTAATGAGTTTTTATTTGAGATACTGTTGACTTTCTATCATCTTGAACCAGTCTGGCCATCCTCCTGGCTTTAAGGTATTTTCACCCACAGAGCTGCCACTCATTGGATATTTTCTCATTTTTAGACTATTCTCTGTGTATGAAAATCCCAGTAGATCAAGTTTCTGAAATGCTCAGACCAGCTGTCTGATACCAACAACCACCTCACATTTAAAGTCACTTAAATAACCTTTCTTCCTTGTTCTGATGGTCGGTTTGAACTTCATGCACATTGTCTTGACCATGTCTGAGTTGCTGCCATGTGATCGGCTGATTAGCTGCATTAATGAGCAGGTGTACCTAATAAAGTGGCAGGTGAGTGTATAATAAACATGCCTCTTTTTAATGAAAATATGTATATTTTTCCATTACAGAAAGACAGCAGCATAAACGGAGGCTGCATTTTCATTGAGATAATGCTTGAGAATAACTACACCGCTTGGATGTCAGTGCACTATGTGGGCTGGTACATTGGCTTCACCAAAAGGGGCCGACCACGCAGAGGTCCGAACACGTTACCCAACCAGCGAGACGTGCATTTCATGAAACGCTTCCCTCCAGGAGAGCAGCCCGACCTGCAGTCCTGCAGCTTTACCACGGTCAGCAAGAGGAGCAAAAGAGTCCAGCAGACCTCCACTGCTCCTCCACCTCTCCAGTAATACTACGAACACTGACTGTTGCGCAAAGATCACATCTTACAGAGGATCTAGAGACGCTCTTCCGTACAACGCAAGTAGGTTAGGCTTTAGGACCGACCGCTCAGTAGAAGTCACAGTTAGAGGACAGACAAGGTTGCTTAAACATTGTGTAATCATGCAAATATAACCAAAGACTCCTGGGCAAGTGTCCAGTCACTAAACCCTGACAAGGGGACCAAGCACTTCAGAGGCCAAAGAATTCCCCTCTAATGTCTAGTGCCACTATAAAAGAGCAGAGTTGTATGGCTGGAAAACTGGCAAGTGCGTGGTATAATATGCATTAGTTGAGACTTTGCGACTTGGATGCTTATGACCAAAAGGGCAATTAAAGGACCTACTTTGTGAACTCATCAAATTCAACTTTGGGCCTATAAGAGCCATGAGATTGTAAACCAGAACCAAAGTCATTCAGAATGTATTTGTCAAGAAAATCTTATTAGACATCCTGATGAACATGTAGTTTTGGTTTTGCCTCCGATATTTCACATTTCACCAGGACTCTTTCATATTCTTTCAATGAAAAAGTGTAATTTAAATGGAGTGATATACACTACCGTTCATATGTTTGGGGTTGGTAAGATTTTTAAATGTTTTTGAAAGAAGCTCCTATACTCCCCAAAAAACGCATTTGATCAAAAATACGGAAAAAAACAGTAATATTGTGAAACAATTAAAATTTACAGTAACTTTTCTATTTTAATATATTTTAAAATGTACTATATTCCTGTGATGGCAAAGCTGACTTTCCAGCCATTCCTCCGGTCTCCAGTGTCACATGATCTTTGAGAAATCATTCTAATATTCTGATTTCCTGCTCAAGAAATTTCTTGATTTGAATGTTGAAAACAGTTGTGCTGCTTCATATTTTGTCGAAATCGAAAGCCCAAAAGTACAGTATAACAGTCTTTAATATCACAATTGGTCAATTTAACGAATCTTTGCTGAATAAAACCTTAATTACCCTAAACATTCGAACGGTAGTGTAAATATAATTTGGCAGCACAGAATGTCAAATTAAATATTCTGACCACTAAGATGGTAAAATCCCCATAATCCACAAAATAAAGTATGAAAAAGGGCATATAAAAGAAAGTAAGCAACCACTAATCTGCACTGATGTTCATGGCGGTTTAAAACAATATATCCATTACTGGCCACAACAAGAGTTGATATTCACTCTAGAGAGTTAAATTTATCAGAGTTATTTGAACTGACCCCGGAGCCTCCAGCCCTGCAAGTGTTGTAATGCTAAATGTTGCGGTTACTATTGCAAACTACTCTGTCCCAAAACCACTTGGGGCTGGTGAAATCTTGAGAGATGAAATATTTTGATACTATTCATGTTATTAAAATATTTATTTTGTGGATGCATTGATCAATGGGTTTCATCTTTTGACACCTTTACCCTGAACATTGGTGTATTTTGGGGTCCAATCTCTCAGTTTTATTGCCACCTGGTGGACCCAGAGGGTATAAAACTACAGCCCTAAAAGGCTGCAAAACATGTACAACCAGAATGTACAACCAGAATGCAAACCATGTAAAACAGACTAGAACTAGTTTAACTATTATAGGAGTTCCAAACAATAAGAAAGCTAAACTGTAGAAAACCAAGATTTAAACACACAAGAACTCTTTTGGGGGGTTTTCTGTATTCTAGTCATCTACTACATTCCGGATCAGCCATATTGGGCAGTAGTAGTCTCTCTTTCTCTCTCTCCCATCTGCAGACTGACTTTGATCCTCCCTCTTTATAATGTCTCCATCTCTCTCACATTACTTATGTCTCACAATCTGACAGTAGCCTGCCATCATTCATTCTAATGCCTTATTTCAATGGAATTCCATTCAAAATTTCGCACAGAACGGAACTCTGTGATTCTTGAGATTTCAGACTAAAATATTGCTCTGCATTCAAACATTTTTTGAATTGCTACAGCACTGAACTGGGCTCGTATTGTGGCTGCTGCCATGGTGGCGTTCATAAGGAAAGCTTAAATCAAATAAAACGAAAATGACAGTACTGCCAATTTCCACATATTCGGAGCAGGAGGTAAACTTGAATATTTGAACAGGGGCCCTGTGATTTTTGGAGGTCTTGGCAGGCGCGGCAGCAGGTTAATGAAATCTGGGCCTGTCGGAAAGCCTTTATCTCAAAAGGGCGAATCATGCGTACACACACACACACTCCAGCCATTCCTCCGGTCTCCAGTGTCACATGATCTTTGAGAAATCATTCTAATATTCTGATTTCCTGCTCAAGAAATTTCTTGATTTGAATGTTGAAAACAGTTGTGCTGCTTCATATTTTGTCGAAATCGAAAGCCCAAAAGTACAGTATAACAGTCTTTAATATCACAATTGGTCAATTTAACGAATCTTTGCTGAATAAAACCTTAATTACCCTAAACATTCGAACGGTAGTGTAAATATAATTTGGCAGCACAGAATGTCAAATTAAATATTCTGACCACTAAGATGGTAAAATCCCCATAATCCACAAAATAAAGTATGAAAAAGGGCATATAAAAGAAAGTAAGCAACCACTAATCTGCACTGATGTTCATGGCGGTTTAAAACAATATATCCATTACTGGCCACAACAAGAGTTTAATCCACAAAAGAAAGTATGAAAAAGGGCATATAAAAGAAAGTAAGCAAACACTAATCTGCACTGATGTTCATGGCGGTTTAAAACAATATATCCATTACTGGCCACAACAAGAGTTGATATTCACTCTAGAGAGTTAAATTTATCAGAGTTATTTGAACTGACCCCGGAGCCTCCAGCCCTGCAAGTGTTGTAATGCTAAATGTTGCGGTTACTATTGCAAACTACTCTGTCCCAAAACCACTTGGGGCTGGTGAAATCTTGAGAGATGAAATATTTTGATACTATTCATGTTATTAAAATATTTATTTTGTGGATGCATTGATCAATGGGTTTCATCTTTTGACACCTTTACCCTGAACATTGGTGTATTTTGGGGTCCAATCTCTCAGTTTTATTGCCACCTGGTGGACCCAGAGGGTATAAAACTACAGCCCTAAAAGGCTGCAAAACATGTACAACCAGAATGTACAACCAGAATGCAAACCATGTAAAACAGACTAGAACTAGTTTAACTATTATAGGAGTTACAAACAATAAGAAAGCTAAACTGTAGAAAACCAAGATTTAAACACACAAGAACTCTTTTGGGGGGTTTTCTGTATTCTAGTCATCTACTACATTCCGGATCAGCCATATTGGGCAGTAGTAGTCTCTCTTTCTCTCTCTCCCATCTGCAGACTGACTTTGATCCTCCCTCTTTATAATGTCTCCATCTCTCTCATATCCACCCTTATGTCTCACAATCTGACAGCAGCCTGCCATAATTCAGTCTAATGCCTTATTTCAATGGAATTCCATTCAAAATTTCGCACAGAACGGAACTCTGTGATTCTTGAGACGTCAGACTAAAATATTGCTCTGCATTCAAACATTTTTTGAATTGCTACAGCGCTGAAATGATTTACCCAAACTGGGCTTGTATGGTGGCTGTTGCCATGGTGGCGTTCATAAGGAAAGCTTAAATCAAATAAAACGAAAATGACAGTACTGCCAATTTCCACATATTCGGAGTAGGAGGTAAACTTGAATATTTGAACAGGGGCCCTGTGATTTTTGGAGGTCTTGGCAGGCGCGGCAGCAGGTTAATGAAATCTGGGCCTGTCGGAAAGCCTTTATCTCAAAAGGGCGAATCATGCGTACAAACACACACGAAAAACACAAGGCGATTATGCAAGCTTCTTAACACTCCTTCACAGTCAAGTACTTTATTCTTATTAATAACGCTTTTTTTCTTTAAAAAATCTTTTCAATATACAACACCATTTTAGACGAGACAATTCTGTTTACAACTAAATTCAGATCAGTTATGGGTCATTCAGAACCTAGACGAGCAGACAGTGAAAAGGGGAACGAGACGGACAGCGCTAAAAATGAGAAATGGAGGTACATATCAGGAGAACTACAATTATTCATACGATTTCACAAGAAAATAAAATATGAAGTCAATTCCCCAACTTAAAAAAAAAAAAGGAAAAGCATAAAAAAAACAAAAACGTAAGACAGAAACCGAGGGGTTGACCAGCACACGTTACACGTCCCATCGCTCGCTCATTCATGCAGAACAGTCCCGAGGGAAGGAAGGCACTCAGACCTGGCCTTCTCCCTTTAGTTTTTCATCTTTTACTTTTTGAATCCATAAAAATAAAACAAACAAAAGATAGATACAGAGTTCATGTGCCCAGGGGGCGGAGCCGGGGCAGCCGTCACTGTACGCGGTGGCGGGGGTGAGAGGGGGGCTCCACACCCACCCTTACGTTCTCTGCTTAATGGCATCGCTCTCTCCATCTTTTCTCCACCTCCTCCTCCGCAGAGAGGGAGAAAGAAAACTAACGCGGTTTGTGTCGTGGGGCGGCCCTCAAAACGACTGAAGAGGGGGAGAAATAAAACAGACGGATGGAGAGAGGAGGGTGAAGGGGAGGGGGGTGGTGGTGGTGGCGTTCCTCGACCTTTGATCCTGGCACACTTCCACAGAGACTGGGTCACCCGAACAGTCCCCACACACACTCGCACACACTCCGCATGCCACCAGGGCTTCCCTGTCGAGAGATCACACACATGCAAGTTAGAGTTCGTATTTTGATGTGTGTGTGAACAGAGTTAAAACGTGTGCTACCTGCTATCTGGATATATAGGTATACGTGCGGGACGGCGATCGTCCTTCCGTCTGCCCATTGGTCGACACGTTGAGGAAGTCCCAGATAAGGATAGTGTCATCGTGGGAACTGCTGATGATCTGGAACTCGTCAAACTGCAGCCGGAACACTCGGCCAGAATGTTCCTACACGCAGACAGACTATATTAAAACAATTCATCCACGACAACACTGCTGCGAATCAAAATCAGTCACAGACTGGGAATGACGTGACGCAAGACTATGGTGCTATAAATGTGTGACAATGCAGAGGGCTGAGGGCAACTACACATGACCGAGATGAGTGACAGACCAGAGACTCTTAGGAGTGAATAACACAGAGCAGTTAACTTTAGTCACAGAGCCATTAATCAGCTGATGTGTGGGCATTTGAGATTATTGCTGCAGTGTGTTGTCTTGTACACATTTATAGATTTGTCCTTAAGACGAGGAGATGGAAACTCACCACTAGTGTACGTAGACACAGAGTGCTGGCTGGGGCTCGTGGATCGAGAGCAGCTTGTAGGTCCCATACTTTAATTTTACTGCATACACACACAAACATATTAAAACATTAGAAAATGCACAAAAAATATGACCATCATAAATCTATGGTACATCGGTTAAAATGCCCTCTCTCATTCTTATGTTGTAAAGCAGCTTTAGAGGCGATTTCACACATAATCTACAGATAATCTGTGATTCAATTGTGGGCTTTGTGGGATTAAAAGTGACTGCTCCCTCAGCTGTGTGGGTATTGTGCACTGCTCATGTATCAGATTAATGACCGGAGCACAGGGAGCAGACAAATCCAACTCCGCAATTAAAGATG